TCAACAGAATTCAATTATTTAAAAATTTGTTGATAAAATTCTTTATGAGAATTTAATTTTAAGAAACATGCAATTATTCAGTAAATTGTTATTTTTGGATTTAAATAATTGAATTCGTCTAGTAAAATTTTCTTATAAAAATTGATTTAAAAACTGATTAGAGTTAAAATTTTAGATTATAATTGAATATTAAAAGCATTAGAGCGTAAATTTTTAGAAATAATTGAATTTTGAAAAGGTTTGAAATTAAAATTTTTGAAAATAAATATGAATTTTTCATATTTTTTACTGACAATTCTGTGGAATTAATTTTTTTTTGAAAAAGTTTAATTGCGGATTTTTTTAATATTATTTGAAGTTTTTATTTTCTAATGTATATTTAATTGAAGAATTTACGTTAATAATTGGAATTTCGTGAAATTGAATATTGTAAAGAAATGAATTTGAAAATCGTCAAAGAACTTTTTCGAAAATTATTAAAAATAATCGATTTTAAGAAGAATTTTAGTTAAAAATTCTTGAAAATGTTCTTTTATTTGACTCGGACTGGTTATATTTTTGTCAGTGAAAATATTAGGTACTATTTGAATAAGTGACTGACTTTTTGCTTCTAAAGTAGTAATTTTCAACTGATTCAAATTTAGAGAGTACCATATTGAAAAGCTAGTCTATAAAAGTATAAAATTTTATAAGATTACATCCTTCATGGTTGTCACAAAACCTGGAAATCCTGGAAAAGGTATGAAATAAAATTAACACCAGAAGAGAAGTGAAAAATTAATTTTTTTTGAAAAATTAAAAAAAAACTACTTTATCAAGCATATGAAAAAAAACTTTTGAAAAAATAAATTTATTAATATAGTTCTGTAGCCCCCCAAGGAGTTCCATAAAAAACCCTAATAACATTTTTTTAAGTAATTTTACATTTGTTGTCAAAAATGTAAATTTTGATGTGTTAAAATTCCACTGCTGCTTCTCCTCAAAGTTCAAAGTTTTCGATTATTTCTGTTATTAATTATTTTCTGATAAAACTCTTTAATTTGAAGAATCAAATTGAATGATAAAGCAAAATCATTGGCGATAAACGTCGGTTCATTTCGAGGCTGATATGATTTTGTAATTAGTTGCAAAGGCATTTTAATTGAATGATGAATAGCGATTAACATGATTATTGTAGATTACAATTTTTTTAAAATTTACTGTAATTTCCATTATGCATTATCAATTATCATAGATACTGCTGCATATCATTTTTTCTTTTTTTCGTTAATTTATTTACGCATATAATTGGCCTTTTAAATTACGTGTTAATTGTCGACAAATATAATTAGAATAAATTAAGAGACATATAAATAAAATGAATAAATAATCTTTTTTTAGATTTTAAACAAACTCTTTTCTTTTTACTTCTTTTTTAATTGGAATAAATTTCGTAGTTAATAGACAAAGTACAAAATTTTTAATGTTTCATTTTTTATCATTTTCTTGAGATTATCGGAGTTGAGATTATTTTTCATGTCCTCATTATGTTACTTAATTAAATTGATAAATCGTCTCGATGTAAAATTCTTTGGAATGATGGATTTTTTTCTGTTAAAGTAGATCAAACTAATTACATACAGTTAAATTTCATTATTAATTTGAATCTAGTAAATTACTAATTATACAAGCAGGGTGATCATTAAAATTTGCGAATAACATTCAAGGCTTTTTCCCAATTTCGAATAAGAATTTTCACGGTTTTTAAAATTAAAACTTTACTACAAATGACAAAATTAGCAATACCTATAAAAAATAATCACTTTCCTAAAAATTCTGCGAAAGTTATATAAAGATAATAAAATGTTTACTTATTGTTTCGCGAAAATTTAATTAAGATTCTTTTTTCAATTTTAAAAAACTTATTTAAGGCTATGAGAATTTTTAATTATATTTATGAGGCATTCCACGCCAAACCAACATATCGTCAAAATTCACATTTTTTATTTGGATCAAACATTTTTTATCTTTTAGTACTAGTTGAAAAAGAGCTTCATGATTTTTTTCAAATTTTTTTACCCAGCCGTTTGCATACGAATTTTTCAAAATTTTACGTTTTGAAAAAAAATTTTTTTTTGAATGCTCATAACTTCTACAAATGTGGATCAATTTTAAACTTTCTTGTATGAAAATTGCTTGTTTTTTCATGAACTTTTCAAAAATTTTATAAAAAAAATTTTTTTTTTAATTTTTTACTGCATTTTTGAAAATTCAAGAATAAAATTTAATTTTTAAAATTCTGTTTGTATCCTTCGACTATTACTATTTTTTCAGAATTTTTTTAAATTATCGAAATTCAGTATTTACAAATGTTCTATTACTTCTTTTTTAATTAAATATTTTAATCATTATTATTTTTCCTTAAGGATTAAGATTTTCAAAAATTTCAAATTCAAATATCTCAACTTTTTTGAAATTCAACAACGTCTAAGAATATTATTATTATAAAACATTTCATCATTTCAATTCAATTATTTTCTACAATTCTTAACTAAATTTCTTCTTTAAATCAATTATTTTTAATAATTTCAGTAAAATCTTCTAATTCAAATTCGTAAAAATTTTTACTAATTGAAATTTAGAGAGTTAAATTTTTAATTATTATCTAAAATTTTAACTAAAATTCATATTTGAATCAATTTTTATTAAAAAAATTCCATTAGAATTCAATGATTGAAATACAAACACAAATAATTTATTGAATAATTGAATGTTTCTTAAAATTGAACTCTCATAAAGGGTTTTGTCAACAAATTTTTAAATAATTAAAATTCTTTTGACGATTTTTAAGAAAATTTTTAAGAATAATTTCATTTTTTGCGAAATTTGATTAAAATTGTATTTAAAATAAATTGAATGTCTGTAAAAAATTTGACTATTTATGAAAATAATGGAATTATTGCGAAGAAATTTTTAAAAAATTTGTAAATAATTGAATTCTTATGAAATTTTTATTATAAAGAAAAATAATTAAATATTTGCGTAGAATTATATTAAAAATTTTCTGTAAATAATTGAATTCGTTTAAGAAGTTTTATTAAAGCAATAGATAATAAAAATCATTGAATTGAGAAAAGTTTCGGAAAATAATTGAAATTTTGCCAATAATTTTATTAAAATTTTTGAAAATAATTGAATTTTGGAGAAGAATTTTATTATTTATAAATATAAATTGAAAATTTTACTAGAATTTTTTTTAAATTTTGAACATAATTGAATTTTGTAAGAACAATTTTATTACTTTTGAAAATAATTTAATTCTTGAAACGAATTTTAATAAATTATTGAAATTAATTAAATTTCTACGAAGAATTTTATTAAAATTTATTTTCGAAAAAATTGAATTGTTACAAAGAATTACATTAAAATTTTTGAAAATAGTTTAATAATTCTTTCAAGAAATTTAATTAAACATGTATTGACAATAATATTTAAATTCTAATAAATAAATTATAGCCAAGCTTTTTAAAAAAATTGGATTTCTTGGATGAATTGAAAAAAAAATTTTAAAAATAATTATCTTTTTAGAGGAATTTCATTAAAATTGTATTAAAAATAATTGAAACTTTGCAATGAGTTTTATTATTTATGAAAATAATTGAATTCTAGCAAAGAATTTTATTATTTACAAAAATAATATTGAATCTTTTTAAAAAAAATTTTTATTATTATGAAAATAATAATTGAATTCCTTCGAAATTCTTATTATTTGTGACTGTCCACGAGAAAACACGGCTTAGGTCCAAAAAATCAATTTTGAGTTTTTTATGGTAATCGACAGATTTTATGTTGCTTTTTCAAATGCAAAAGTCAAAAGTTAAAAATATCAATTACTTTCGACAATATATCGTTTTAAAAATGGGTATGTCAAGCGTAGTTAACTTCAATCGTAGTACTTCAATCGCTCGCCTTGTGAAATTCCCGTTTGGGAGCTAAGCCGCGTTTTCTCGTGGACAGTCACATTTATGAAAATAATGAAATGTTTGCGTAGAATTTTATTAAATTTTTGTTTAAATAATTGAATTATTTTGGAAAATTTGATTAAAATAAAAGATATTGTAAATCATTGAATTGAGGGTAATTTTCGAAAATAATTAAAATTTTGCCAAAAATTTTATTAAAATTTTTTTAAATAATTGCATGTCTGCGAAAAATTTTACTTTGAAAATAATTAAATTTCTTCAATCATTTGTAATTGCTTCAAAATTCAATTTGTTTTAGCGTTTTTAACTAAAATTCTTCTATAAATCTATTTAGTTTTAATAATTAATTAAATAAATATTAAAAAATTTAAACTTATTTCAAAAGAATTTGATTTTACAAAATTTTAAATCAAAATTTTTTAAAGTGGATCTTTTTATGAAAATTGTAAACGGAACTCTTTTAAAATTCAATTAATTTTGAAATATATAAATTAAGTAAAATTAGATGTCAAGAATAAGCACAATAACTTTATTATTAGAAAACAATAATTTCCCAGGATTTCGAATGTTTTTAAAAAATTTTATAATTTTTTTTTTTAATTACTGAATTCTTTTGGGAAATTTTTTATATTATTATAGTATTTATTGAAAATAATTGAATTTCGATAAATTGTTAAAAATAATTGAATCGTTTGAAAGAATTTTATTAAAATTTGTTGAATTGTTTCTAAGATTTTTATTAAAAATTGTTGAGAATAATTTTTTGTTTTAAGTATTATCGAATTTAAAGTAGTGCAAATTCTTAGACATAAAAAAATTAACTTCTAGTGACACAAATTTAAAAAAAAAGTATCTAAATAATAGTAAATCGTAGGTCTTAGTGAATGATTATGAAGAAGAAAAATTTTAGTTTTTCCCTTGAAACCAATTGAAATAATGTTCGTTATATTTCCCCTGTAATTTAGAAGTGAAAGCAATATTGAAAGTAAAAAATCGTTTTCAAGACATTCAAGGATTTTGGTAATGAGAAAATTTCTATTGTTAATTATCTTTGTGTATTTTACTATAAAATAATATACACAGTGACCTTAAATAATTAATATAATTACTGGTTTACAATCTCCGTTAATCCTTAAATTAAATGTCTCACCTCCTAATCTTCACTTGGTAGATCTGCGTCTAGCTCTTAACTTGTAAATTAAATACAATTTCTTTTACGTATGTAGATAAAAGCTTTGAAAATTGTGCTTTTCTGCATTCACGGAACTTGTGTCAATAATTATTACTCCAATTACAGTAACACAATTAAGTTTGAAAAAATATATATATATATAGTCGACTCTACCGGGTTATTCTCTTTGAAAAAATTCAATAATAGATATACAAAAAATAAACATAAAGCAGAGAATACAATTTTTTTTCTTTCTCGATAATTTCTATTTTCATTCCTATCACATTTTTCAGAAACATTTAACTTTGAAAAGGGAATTAGTTAGTTTACACATTATTCGCCAAGAATTCTTCTTATATATTTATATATAAATTTTCTTTATGCGTCTAAAATGCTGATATTTGAATTATTTACAAAATGAGTACAGACATTTTTTCCGTATTTCCTTATAGGGTTAAAGATCAATCAAACATTGAACTGATAACAATTTCCAAGATACTGAAGACATTAGACCAACTTACAAATTATCTTACAAAAAATTCAATAAATACAAAGTTGCATTAAAAAAACAGAACAAAACAAAAATAAAAATTCTTCCCTGACTATAAGAGGAGAAAATAAAGGGAAATCTTCTTTCCAATTGGTTGGTAATTGAAAATTACCAACATTTTTTTAATTTTAATGGAAAAATTAAACGCACACACTGCTTTCTTTCTTGTCTGCTGTAATTAAGCTCTCGTTTTATTTCTTTGGACAGTTTTTTTTTATTAACTTTTTGTTAAAAATAAATTTACAAAAAAAACGGTAAAGTGCACTTATTACACAATGCTTTTAAGAAATTTAAATATTTCACTACAATTTTTTTTTATACAAGCTGCATTTTATGTTATGACGATAATGTTTGAAATTTGGAAATTTTTTTTTTTTTTTGATGAAATGGAGAAAAAGAATGTTTTAATGTCCATGTCGTGATGATAAACGTAAAATAGATGTAAATTTTTTTTTAATTACCTAGTCAATCTTATATTTCGGAACAGGCAGTGATGTTCTCCACTCGATTTTAGTGTTTCTACATCATTTATCTTTGTAAAATCAGTTAATTTTCCGCGGATCAGAGAAAATTAACTGAGCTATTTTTTTTAAGTTGATTACACAAAGTTTGATCCCTGTATTTACTTTTTACAAGAAATAGAATTCGCAAGTCTAGAAGTCGCAAGTTAGAGATCACAATTTCTAGCAGTCATTTGCGCATTTATGTTTTTTTTCTGAAAACTGATAATTTTCTCGTGGCAATAAAAAAAAGTTGAAGAATTTATTAACTTGCGACTTGGGGCGTTTCCTCCTCCATTGGTTCATCCAGAGCAGCAGTCGCCTCGCCGTCCACTTCCATTGATTCCTCGGGTTTTGTCGCTTTCTCAGAAGCAGTTTCGGCAACCGGTGATTCTGGAACTTGGATTTTCTCGTCGGAAATTGAGACGTCAGTCTTTGTTTCTTCGCACGCTTCTAAAGATGCGACTTGCTTCTCGGATGCGTCGTTATTTTCTAAATTTTCGATAGTTGGCTCATTCTTTGGCAAATCATCAATGTTTGTTGGTAATAAGTCGGCCTCTCGACTCGAATCGATCTCCTCGATCGATGTTTCACTATCGGCGCTCTTGGCGGGCAATTCCTCTTCTTTGGGTTCTTCGACAATTGGAATAGGATCCGGAACAATGGATTTTGTTTCAGAGGGAGAATCGTCTTCCGTTGTTTCCTCAATCGTGAGACTTCCGCTGTCCACGTCGCACTTCTCGGAAATCGACTCTTCGGGAGTCACCGTCTTTTCCTCCTCTTCCGGCTTCGAATCTTCTTCATTTTTCTGATCCGCCACCGCTTCTTCTATCGTCTCTTTAGCTTCCTCTTTCACCTCATCTGAAGTCGATGATTCTTCCGGTTTCACTTCCTGTGAAACTTCCTCCTGGACAGATTCCGCAATCATGGGCACTTCTTCACTCTCAACTTCCTTGGGTGAGGGAATTTCCTCCGCCTTGTCCTTTGGAATATTATTCTCTTCTGAAAAGGATTCCGAGGAATTGCTACTTGAAGATTGCTCCTGACACGCCAAGGCTTCCGGCAAGAGAGAAGCGTCGTCCTCCTCCTCTTTCGGCGAAGTGCTCTCCTCATTTTCCGAATCCGACTTCTGACTCGGTGTACCTTCCGATGTTATCACTGAATTTTCTAATCTTGTGTGCAGGAAATTCTCTATATTTGGAAGAATTGATCCGCGCTCGTTAAGCTCTGACGACTTTGCACATTCCTCCAAAGATTCGGAACTACTTTCTACAGAGCTTTGAATTTCATTGGTCGCTTCTAGATCTGCATCAGTTTGTTCCGTCACTTTGGTGTCCTCTTCATAAGGCTCTGGTGATTTCTCGTGGGTTATGAAATCCTTTGCCTGCAAAACAATCAATGTTCAAATTATAAATTCTTGAAAAACTTCCAAAAGTAAATTATTAAATTAAAAAATAATACTAATATATTAATAATATTAATATTATCAAATAGAAAAAATGTATTTTGTATTTAGTTGGGATTCAATAACTAAAGCTGGCCAAATGAAGAATGGACACTGATTTTGATGATTATTGTTTTCAATAATTATTATGCAAAGTTCCAACAATTCTCAAAATATTTCCTTCTGAAAAACTGTAATCATGTTCGTAAAATTTACTAGGTTCTAAATAATTAATACAATTGCTTAAAATTTAAAACATTTAAGAATACGTCCTAACGTTTAAATAAACAACATTTTTATTACTTTTTAGAAATTTGAATTTTATTTTTAGAAACTATTAATTTTTATAATTGAAAAATTAATATTTAACTAAATAAACGTTGAATTGAAATATTTTTCGTCTCAGTCCGCTAATTTTTAAAAATATTAGAGCGCAGAAAAATATATTCAAAAATTTAGGAAACTTGAAAATAACTCAATATTTTGTCAAAGTATTAAATTAAATTTTTTGAAAATAAATGAATTCTTTCGAAGAATTTTATTAAAAATTTAGAAAATAATAATAATTAATTAATAAATTAGTTAATAATTGAATTTTTTTAATTTTGAATTTGATATTTTTCAAAAATTGAAAATAAAAAAATTTGTAATTTGCATAATATTAATAAAAAAATGGAATTCCGTTTTTCGTGCGTAATATTTGTAATTATAATAAAAAAATAGTTCTTCAGGTACTGTTAAATTGTCTCAAAAGTAAAAATAAATAAAATACTTAATACATAAATGATTGAATGTAAGATTCATTAAGATTAGAGTATGGAATTTATTTTGTTTCTAAATTCGGTTAAATTGAAAATAAGATTAACAAAATTTGAGCTCAATAAAAAACAATATGAATAGAAATTTTGACGAATTAATTTAGAGTCAACTAAAAATTTAATCGATGAAATTTTTAATAAATTATGTTCCTAAAGTTGATAAAGTTGAAATGAACGACAATAATTTTTTACTTCTTTTAAATTTTATTTTTATTTATTAAAAAGATTGAACGTCATGTTCAATTTATTATTATTATAAACTTAGAAAACTTTTTATTTTCAAATGGGAGCGTTCACAAATGATGTCATGTTTTTGGGGGGAGGGTGGGGTCTCTACTAAACGTGACACAATGTATTTTTACATGTGAAATTGCATGAAATTGCGTGACGGGGGGAGGGAGGGGGTCTAAAATCCCGAAAAATTGCGTGACATCATTTATGAACGCTCCCAATATGAATTTTTGAATACTTTCAAATTCAAACTTTAAAAGAAATTCAATTATTAAGTAACTAATTTACTAATTAACTATTTTGTTCATTAATTTCAAAAATTTTAATAAAATTCATCGTAAGAATTCAATTATTTTCATAAATAATAACATACTTCGTAAGAATTCAATTATTTTTTAATAAAATAAATTTTTTTGCAAATAATTTCACGAAAGAATTCAATTATTTTCTTAAATTTTAATAAATCGTTGGAAACAATTTAATTTTATTTATCAATTAGAAAAATTCTATACAAAAATTCAATTATTTTTAATACAAATTTAATATTTCATGAAAGAATTCAATTATTTTTTTAACTTTTAATAATATTTTTCGAAAAAATTCAATTATTTTCTAAAATCTTAATAAATTGTTCAAAAAAATTCAATTACAATATTTATAAATAGTAAAATTCTTTGGAAAAATCCAATTATTTTCAAAACAATTTCACGAAAGAATTCAATTTTTTTCTTAATTCGTTATAAAGTTTTACAAAAGAATTTAATTATTTTCTAAAATTTTAATAAAATTCAATAATTAAATGTTTAATTTGATATATTAAGAACCACGATTATTTTAAAAAATTGAAAGAAATTGATTATAAAATTTAATTATTTTTAAAATTTTTAAAGAAACTCCATTATTTAAAAAAAATCAATATTCAATAATTGAATGTCTCTTAAAATTGAATTCTCATAAATAAGTTTATCAACAAATTTTTAAATAATTAAATTCTTTTGACGAATTTTAAGAAAAATTTTGTTAATAATTATATTTTTCAAGGTATTCAATACAATTAAAATTGTATTAAAAATAATTTAAATTCTACGATCAGTTTTATTAATATTTATGCAAATAATCGAATTCTTTCAACGAATTTTATTAATTACGAAAATATTTGAATCGCTGTAAAAAATTTGTGAATATTTGAATTTCTGTGTAATTTTTATAATTTCTGTAAACAATTAAATGTTTGCGCAGAATTTTATTAAAATTTTTTTTAAATAATTGAATTCGTTTGGGCATTTTATTAAAATAGTAGATATTGAAAATCATTAAAATGAGGATAATTTTTGAAAATAATTGAAATTTTGCCAAGAATTTTATTATTTATAAAGATAATTGAAATTTTGACGAGAATTTAAAAAAAATTTTGAATATAATAATTGAATTTCGGCAATTTGTAACTTTTCCAAAATTTAATTATTTTTTAGTGTTTTTGACTAACATTCTTCGCACAAATTCAATTATTTTGAGTAATTAATTAAATATGTATTAAAAAATTTAAATAATTTCAAAAGAATTTGAATTATTAAAATTTTTCAAAAATCTAAGTTCTTTAAAATTTCTAATTAAATTCATTCAAAATTGAAATTTTGCCAAGAATTTAATTCAAATTGGCGATTTTTGAAAGTAATTGAATTTTGGAGAAGAATTTTATTGTTTATAAAAATAATTGAAATTTTAACCAGAATTTTTTTTAAATTTTTGTTATTAAGATTTGTCAAAATCTCTTGAGTATGAAATAAAGTTGTTTCAATAGAAAAAACTATATAATTTGAAAAATAAATTAAAAAATCCAAGTTCAAAGAAAGCACTTTTAGAAAAATCAGGCAACTAAGAAAATATTTAATTTGAACGTGAATTATTTTTCTTTTTTATATAGTAATTTTAAAAAATATAAATTTAAATACAAACATATTCGTATATTTTTGAACGTTTAAAACTTTAGGAAGATAATAAATTAAAAATTCTTAGAACAAACTTTTGATTTAAATTTTGAAAAGTACAAAATAGGTAGAAAAAGGAGAAAGGTAGCAATTTTTAAAAGGATGAAAATTTATATGAATAGGAGAAATGAAAAGTTGTTTACCCTAGATTTAAAGGACAATTATTGTATGAGTTATAAATCTTGTACAGTGCAACTTACCGGGTGGAATCCCTTTTACAACCTGAATGAATAGTTTTAGCCTCTTTATTTGACCAGCTTTTAGTCCGAAATTTGTGTATTTTTAAATAAAAACCAGCCGAATAGCCACTCGTTAAAACCAGTTAAAAGCAGGTTAAAACATAGTTAGGTGAAAGTTGAGTGAAATAGGGTTATAAATTGGTGTAAAATTGAAATCGCCGCATGTAAATAAAGAGAGAAGTGGAGTACCTGGAAGGTGGTCTGTAGTTTTCGGCCGGGGTCGACGGGCTCGCTCTCGGGACTGTCGATGTCGAGACTGGGCTGCGAGCTGGTGTCCTCGTTCATGATGGCGTCGGGAACCTCCCGGGCGATGCTCGGTCCCGAGAACTCGGACGTCGAGGGGACAAAGTCGATGGCCTTGTCGCCGTTGGCGACGGGGGGCGCAGTGGGTGACGTCGCTGTCGCCGTTGCCGTCGCGGTGACGTCGTCCAGGAGCCGGGCCTCGGCGTCCATGGCCTGCGCGGAGGTGGCGCAGTCCTTGACCCAGGAGTCCATCTCGACGTCGGCGCCGGGCGCGTCGTCCTCCATGGAGCCGTTGACGAGGCCGTCGCCGTTCTCGTTGCGCCTGGCCGCCGAGCCCGGCTCCTTCGTGGACACGACGAGGATGTTCTTCTCGATGGCGCGCATGAACTTGTCGACCCGGTTGTACTCCTTGCGCGGCGTGGTGAGCAGCTCGCAGATGCGCTGCACCGTGAAGGGCGCGTTCGCGAAGGACTCGAGGCGCTCCAGGAGGCTGCTCTTCATCGTGTCGTAGTTGAAGGTCTCGACGTTCGGACACGGCGCCAGGTCGAGACTGGGGCAGCTCTCGTAGAAGTCGGTCATCACCCGGGTGAGCTTCTCGCGGAACAGCGCCTTGATCAGCGACCACTGGTAAACTGGGTCGCCGGTCTTGGCCACCCAGCACAAGTACTCCTCGAGTTCCCGCGGGATCTCCGTCGGCCGCATCTTCTGGAACTCGTCGAGCGCCTGCAGAACTTCCTCGGGATTTTCCATTACTGCTAGCTGTTGTTTCAGGTGTCACCTTCTTCCCGGCAAAACAGTTCTCGTCGCGCACCTTCTACGAGAACACCAGATTTCGGTTTTGCAACACCACGATAGACAAAAATAACGACAAAAAATAATATGCTTTACACCGGGGGACCAACAACCTGAGTCAGACAGACAGACACACTAAACAGCCGTCGTCGCAACTCGCAACGTCGTTGCAGTCACTCACTCACTAGCGAGCATGCAAGTCTCACACTGTGAAACGAGACTAACAACTGCTGCCAACCTCAGCCGAGCAAAGTCACTCATTCGTTCAATCGGGCGGCACGCGGCAACGGCGGCAATTTAAACTCACCTTCTACAATTACTTGAAACAATAAACAGAGTTTCAATAGCATCAATAGTCAATGTTAAACTTTATATTGATACAATTTTTTTTCTCCTTTCATCGATATATTCCTTTCCACCAGCTGAATTTACATACAAAACATTTCCCATATTTTAAAACTAACCCCAATGAAACAGAAAATTATTTTTACCTCATATTTTAATATCGCAAATACTAAATTACATAAAAGCATAAAATTAAACATAACCTTAAAGTGTCAATATAATTCTATAATTCTAAAATTGTCCGACTTTTTTATTTTTAATTTAAATATTATAAAAAATACTTTCTCAAAACTTCTGAGTTATACATAAGAATAGAAGCAAGAACAACAAAATAATTTTTTATCTCTAGAGTAGGAGAAATAATTTAAAAAATAGAATTATTAAAAAAATATATTACCTATTTGTTTATTGTTTTAATAGTTTTAAAAAAAGCCAAAGACATAATAACAATATTATTTTTAAGTTTTTAAATTAAACTATTTTTATTAAAATTTTTCTACCTATTTCTAATTTAAATCGTATATAAAATTAAAATTATTTTTAATTTTAATAAATAAATATAACAAACAAAAAACAATAATTAAAAAATTTATATAATGTTAAAAGCAAATATAGTTTCCTTGTGTAACTTCCGAAAATGAAGCAATATTATGCAAACTGATATTTTACATAACATTGAGAAATCACTTTAGTTCTTTCTTTTTTATTTTTAAAGGGAATCGAGAAATTTATACTTTGCTCTTAAAAGTTTATTTTATTGTATAATATTATGTTATAATACGTGAAAATTAAAAAAAAAATTATTTACTAAATTCTTTAATAAATAATCTTTAAAGAATTCAAATTTTAATTTAACTTACCTTCATTCGTAGAAATTTGAATTATAGGTATATATATTTCTTTGATAATTTTTTCTTGTTTCTAATCTTTCTAATAAAAAATAGAAAAGCGATTCTATTAACAAAGAGCTTTCTTGTAATTATTTGTACCTTAGGCCACAATTAACAAACAGTATTTAACAAAAATTAAGTTCCTTGAAAATAACAAATAAAAAATAAGAAAACTTTTTAAATAGTCAAAAATTATTTTTCTTAAATTCCAAATAATCATTATTAATTATTATTATTATGCAAATTACAAAATTTTAATAAAATTCTTTGCTAGAATTCAATTATCTTTATATATAATAAAATTCTTTTCAGGAATTAAATTATGTTTCTTAACATTTTAAATAATTTTTGTTTTTAATTATTTTCAATTTTTTAATCATTGAATTATTTTTATAAATAATAAAATTCTTTTCAGGAATTCAATTATTTTTCTTAACATTTTTAATAATTTTTCTTTTTACTTATTTTCAACTTTTTAATCATTGAATTCTTGCAAAGAATTTTATTAAAAATCAATGGTCACATGTCAGTAAAGTCAGTAAAGTCAGGGAAATGTCAGGAAAATTTTTTTTTATCAGGGCAATTAAAGAAATTAAAACGGTCATGCAATACATTCTTTGCTCTAAACAAAAAAATTTTTGGCAGGGAAATTCGTTGTTATGTCAGTAAAATGTCAGGGAAATTGATAAAGTCAATCTTGCGGCCACCCTGAAAATTTTTAAAATCCTAATTAAAGTATTTTTTTGAAGAATTTCTTTGAATTTTTTTAAATAATTTTTTTTCAATAATTTTAATTGAAAATTTTGAAAATAATTGAATTTTATAAATAATTTCTTTCAAGTTTTTCAAATAATCGTGTTTGTTAATAATTGAAATTAAATATTTGATTATTGAAATTTATTAAAATTTTTAGAAAATAACTAAATTCTTCACAGAATTTTATTACAATTTTTCAAAGTATTGTAATTCATTCAAGGAATTTTGGTAAAATATTGAAAATTCTTTTCAAAAATTTCTTTAGTTTTTTTAATATAATAGATTTTATTAGCAATTGTAAATTAATAATTTTACTATTAAATTTCATGAAAATTATTGAAAGAAAATTAAACTCTTTTCAACAATTTTATTAGTTTTTGTAAATCATCAAATTCTTTTGAAAAATTTCTTCAAGTTTTTTTTTTAACAATGTAGTTTTTTTTAATAATTTTAATTGAATATTTAAAAGATAATTGAATTTAGCAATTAATTTTTTTCTAACTTTTTAAATCAATTGTTTCTGTTAATAATTGAATCGTGAATTTCGAAAAGGGCTCAACTTTAAAAACCGTAAGTGTCATTTTTACATATATAATAAATGTCAGTGAAAATTACTTACGATTTTTAGAGTTGAGCCCTTTTCGAAATTCACGACAATTATTATTAAAAATTTTTTAAATTGGATGAAAAATAATTGAATTCCTGGAAAGAAATTTTGTTATATATCCTTAAAAATAATTGAATTCTTGAAAAAAATTTTATTAAAATTTTGGAAAACTATAAACTATAGTAATTAATTAGTAAATTCGTTAATAAATGATTTTTTAAAATTTTAAATAAAAAATTATTCAAAAATGGAAGTTATGTTTAACAAAAATATTTTATAATTTCCATAATTTAATAATAAAATTATTAATTAAATTTATTAACAAAATCGATTAGGATTTAAAAAAAAAATTATAGAAATTCTTCAAAAGAATTTAATTATTTTCAATAAATTGAAATAAAATTTCTTAAATGAATTCAATTATTTCCAAAAAATTATAATAAAATTGAATAATCAAATGTTTAATTAATTACAATTATTAATAAACACGATAATTTAAAAAACTTAAAGAAATTCTTCAGAACATTAAATTACTTTCAAAATTTTCAATACATTAATTTTAAAATCCAGAACATGCAAAAAGAAAAATTATTAAAAAAGTTAAGAAACAAAAAAGCAATCATGATTTTAAAAATTTTTCTTTTCTAAAAGATGTTGTTTATAAATATTCAATTTGACAATCACAGTTTTTTTGTAATTTCTTTTGTAAAACATTTGCATAATTTCCATTCCTTTATTACAATTCTTTAACAAAATATCAAGTATTTAAAAAAAAGTTTAAAAATTTGCATAATTTATATTTAATTCTGAATTAATTAATAGCATAGATTTTTAAGTTTCATTGTTTCGAAAAATAATTTAAAAAATTTTAATTAATGTTAATAGCATTATAAAAATGTTGTTTATAACTTTTTTCAGATTCTCTTCTTAATTGATAATTAATTCATAATTAACTTACAAAAGTAAATAAAATAATAATTTGCAATAAAACCTCGATTTAGTTAAAATTTTCTTTTTGGTATTGTAACTTGTATAACTATTAGAATTTAGAAGTATTATGTACAGAAGGACTTATCTCGTCAATGAATAAATAAATAAATAAATAAAAAGTAAAAGAAAAGAATATTCTTTACATTAACAAAATTTTGTTGCATTCCAGGTATCGCCGACAGAATTGGAATCAATTATTTTGGAAGTGCCAGGTGTGGCGGATGTGGCGGTTGTTGGTGTACCAGATAATTTTGCCGGTGAAGTGCCAAAAGCTTTTGTTGTCAAAAAGCCGAACGCTGACGTGAGCGCGGAGATAATACAAAATTTCTTAACACCTAAGGTAAATATCATATTTACATAAAAAAAATTAAATTTAAAATTTGGCTTTACTAAATTTCTGTTTTTAAAAAATTTCAGGTAGCAACGTACAAAAAGTTAATGGGAGGTGTTTCCTTTATCGATGCAATTCCCAGAAATCCTGCCGGAAAAATAATACGCACCCAATTAAAAGCTCTAAGTAATTAATTAACAATCATTAATTGTCAAATCCACTTTCCATTTATTTCATCTTTCAACCTGAAGAAACAAAAATTCCGTGCTACTTGCATTTTTAATTGACACTCTTAAATGTATTATAATAAAATTGTAACTTTTTATATTCCATATATTCTGTACTTAATATTATGTAATTAAATAAAATATAACATATAAAATAAAAAAAAGTTCTAAATTCATTGTAGTCACTACTATTTTGGTTTAATTATTATTTTTATTTTAACCTTTCTTTTAATCACGAAGTCATGGGGGTCAATTTGATCCCATATCTTCTCGAAGTTGGAATTGGAAAAAATACTTTAGAAATCGTCTAAAGAATTTTTAATTGACAATTTTGTTTCGTGTAAGAATTTATATGAGCAGCAAATTTTCAAATTATATATAAAATCGAGATATTCTGTTATCACTTGAAGTTAGTGCTTTTTGATTCCAAATTGTTTTACAGCTCAAATTCTCAAGTCAAAAGTTTTAATAAAAAAAGAATTTCAATAAATTTATAAATAGAATAGAGTGATTAGTGTTTTAGTGAAATTAATTTTCCTAGAATTTTGACAATAACAGGATTTTCACTGGACAGTAAAGTAAAAAATGTTATTCAAAGTATTCAAAAAATATCAAATTTTATTGATTTGAGTAAGAGTTTCAATTAAAATTTTAGAAAATATTTCAAATATTGGAAGAATTGAAGTTTTAATTTTTAGAAATAATTCAATTTCAAAAAGTTTTTTATTAAAAGTATTTTGAAATTTTAATTCTTGGTGGACGAATAAATAATAATAATAATAAGTATCACAAAATTTAGTAAACAAAAATTAATCAAATTTGAAAAACTTAGTTCAGTAATATTCTGAAAATTGAGGTTTTTGAAAAATCATAATTAAAATTTTTTTAAAATAGTTGAATTTCCGAAAATCATTTTAAAAAATTGAAAAAAAGAAAATTTTCTCAAATTTCATTAAAATAGGTCAATTTTGTATTTCACAGAATTTTATTTTCTAACTTAAAAAAATTATTTTTTAAAAAAAATTTTGTATTTTTTGAAGAATTGTAACTAAAAATTTGGAAAATAATTAAATTTTACAAAAATTTTTGTCTTTAAATAATTCAATCATCGTAGTTGAATTTTAATAAAAATTGATTTAGAAAACAATTTCAGTTAAAATTTTAAAAATAATAATTGAATATAAGAAGCGTTATAACAGGAATTTTAAGAAATAATTGAATTTTAAAAGATTTTTAAGTATTGAAATCTTTTTTTAACATTTTAATTGTCGTAAAAGTATAATAATATATTTGAATGTTTATGTAAATATTTTATGAAAAATTATTAAAGTTTTGAATAATTTTTTTTCCAAAATTCTAAAAAATAATTTATTTTTTGAAAAATTGCAGGTGTAATTTCTTAGAAGAATTCCTATGAATTTTTTTAAAATAATGAAGTTTCTTTAATAATTTTAATTGGAAATTTTGAAAGCAATCGAATTTTATGAAAAATTTCTTTCAAAAGTTTTTTAAATAATCGTGTTTCTTAAAAATTGAAATTAAATATTTAATTATTGAATTTTATTAAAATTTTTAGAAATTAATTAAATTCTTCTTGTAATTTTATTACAATTTTCTAAAATAATTTAATTCGTTCAATGAATTTTTATAAAAATATATAAAATTAAATTCTTTCGAAGAATAGATACTATTAAAGGTTTTGACAATAATTGAATTCTTTCAAAAAATTTCTTTAATTTATTGAATATAATCGATTATGTTAATAATTGTAATTATAATAATTTTCTCTTGAAGAATTTTAAGTTTTTTTTTAAATAATGTTGTTTTTTGAATAATTTTAATTTAAAATTCTGAAAATAATTGAATTAAAAAAAGAATTTTCTTTAACTTTTTAAGATAATCGTCTCTGTTAATAATTATAATTTATTAAATATTTGATTTTTGAAGTTTATTAAAATTGTAATGAAAATAATTGAAATTTTCCAAAGAATTTTACTTTTTATGAAGATAATTGAATTTTTAGGAAGAATTTTATTAAAATTTAGAAAATAATTGAATTTATTCTTTTGGAAAATTTTATAACGAATTAAGAAAAAAAATTGAATTCTTTCGTGAAATTTTATTGATATGTAATAATTGAATTTTTGCAAAGATTTTATTATTTTAAAAAATAATTAAATTACTTCGAAGGATTTTTTAAAAATTTTGTTGAAACAATTGAATTTCCAAAAAAAATCTTATTATTTATGAAAATAATTGAATTCTTTCGAAGAATGATTAGAAAAATTTTGAAAATATAAATAATAGGAATAATTAATTTTGTAGGTACTTAATAAGTGAATTTTTAAAAGTTTGATTTTGAAATAATTCAAAAATTTCATGACGTTCCGCGCGTAACTTTTGCTAGTTGAAACAATTAAAATTTTTGTCAAATTTTATTCAAATAAATTTTGTATTTGAAAAAATTTGATTCTATGAGGTACTTTTAAAAATTATTTTGAAATATAACTGTATTTTTGAAGCATTATATTTTCGAAAAAATATCATTTTTTAAAATAATAAATTTTTATATAAATTTCAAAAAGAAAGTTTTTTGTAATTAACAATGTTTTTAGACGTTTTATTTTTAATTTAACTTTATCATAAAATTGATTTAAAGGTTTTGGTTCTGGTAATTTTTTCTAAAAAGAAAAAATATAAAAATTATGTCATTTTGGTTATGTCGAAAAGTTTTTAAATAAAAAATTCTTTGTTAATATATATTTTTAATTCAGGCTATGACAGATCAATTTTTGATATTCTTACAATATTAATGTTTCTTTAAATTTTCTGAAAAAAATGTATTCATCAGCTTTTGAAAATTTGCTCCTCATATGTGACGCGCTCCCAAGAAAGGTACATAAGAAACAAAAAAGCTTCTTTAGGTTATGTTTATAATTTTTGGAGTAAAAATCCAGAAAGCGAATCAGTTACTATTCAAAATTATTGATGTTTAGGTCGTCATTACATTAAAAATATTCAATAAAAGTCGATTTCAAATTTATACAATTAAAAAGGAACTTTTAATCGAGATAAATTAAACACAAACATAACCTATAAGTCGTTTGCTTCTTAGGCTCCTGTCTTGGGAGCGCATCATTATTTTGAAAATAAAAATGACAATAAGAATTGAAAACAATTGAGTTGTAGAGATTCATTGCAATATATTTTTAAATTCTGAACTTTGATTGGACATTTAGCGAGAGCACATAACATTTACATATAGAAACAGTTAAAACGTTAGAATAAGTTTCTTTCTTTATAATTATTAAATTTATAATTATATGTATATTTATAATATATACTTTCACTTAAATAACCACACTTTAAGTAATATGCAACCAATGCAATATTGTACATTCGAAAGATGCAGAGAACCGAGATGTTTTTCAGTCTTTTGCACGAAACATGGCAAGACGTAGATATCTAGACGCATAATTCTTACAACTAGTTCTCTTTTTTTTTTTTTCCTAAAACTTGGATCGACTCACAATAATTCTTTTTAAGAAAAAAAAAATCCACTTGTGCCTCTATTAATGTGATATTCGGCCTTGATCATCCGTTTCTTCCGAATTTACAATCGATGTAAATTTAAATATATTTATGGGCAAAAAACAACAACAATAAATAAATTATTAAAAGAAAAAGAAAAGAAAAAGAAAAAAAACATGCAAAAACAATTTTCTTTTTTTCTTTCCAATTACTCTCGCAAGATACAAAATAACAAATTTGCTCTTTCTAGCTACAAGTTAAGAGTTAATATAATAAATCTTCGCGAAACATAAATTTCATGATATGCCATCCAAGAACTATAGTTCCTATTTTGAAAAAAGAGGAGGTGCCCTATTTATTATGCGAAGAATTTGACAAGGCGAACACTCCGTTTATATTGCACACACGTTTTTTTGCATTTTTTGCATTGCAGAAACGTCCATTATTTTTTCAATGGTATTTTCGAAGCATTAATAGTTGTTTTTATTTTATTTTGAATTCGAGTGTATTAGTGGAATTAGCGAGTCGTACATTTATTTAAAAACCCTTTCCCAGGCACATGCTAATGCAAAGTTTGCATTTTGCGCGTATTTCAAAGACAGTTCTGTTACTTATAAGTCGCTTTTACGCTTTTACGTACTCTTAAATAACTTACGGAATTATAAAAAGTTTCAAACTGATTCTATGCTCGTATATATGTATGTAATGTATTATATCGAGATGTATGTATAAATCACTGATCATTTGGTGGGGGAGAGAGAGAGGTAAAGACAATTTATAATCCAGATGGATTTACAATATATACGTTCAAAGTTGAAGCTGTAAAATTTAATAAGATTGTCTAACTCGAAACAATGGCGGATTCAGGGCGAACACTTGGTTTCTCTAGAAAAGCAAAAATGGCAAGAGAAAACATGTGTAAAAAAAAGAGAAAAAAAAAGAAAATTCATTTATTAAAAGAGAGTAAAATTGTAGATTCCGCCCTTGATTCGAAAGAAGAAGGGAGAAAAAGTTATAAATAGAGTAACAATTGTACTACCAAAGAATTGAAGCAGTAATATTGTTATATTACTGATTTTAGAAGATTAAATTAGTACTATCGAGAACTTAAGCAATTTCTATGTGCTATGGTACAAATCAATTGATATCGATGATTAACGTCTGAACGGGGATCATTTTAATTCACCCTAGTACGAGACAGATCTTTATTTTTTACTTATAAACTATCCGATAAAGCTATGATTAGTAATGAATTCATCAAGTTGAAATTACATTACCGTTTAGCATCGTTTAAAGTTTTTACATGTCGAATAGAGTTTGATTACTTAAACGTCAACCACCATTTTCTTATGAATGTCCGTATTACCCACAACCTGCAAAAACAAATTTTTCACTTTATTTCTCAATCGTATTTCTCAAAATTTAAATTTACAAATTATTTCTGTTTATGGTGGAGTCCACGTCAGTTCAACACACTTATTTTCATGACTTGTTGGGATTTGGCTGTACTTTTGTAAATTTATTACTTTTATAGTGATAAACAACTCCACCAAATATTTTTTCAAAATTTTGAAAATTACCAAAAATAGGTATGTCATTTTCAAATTTTTTGTCTTTTTTTTTAAACTGCTATAACTTTGGTTCTAATTAACCGATTTTGGATTTTAAAAAAAGGATTTCTTTGGTTTTAAGTATATTTTAAGTTACAAATAATATAAAAAAAAATTCAAAAAAAATTTTTTTTTTTTTGAAATTTTGAAAAATTATAAATCCGTTTTTGAAAAAACATCATCTTTGATTTTTTTCAAAATTTTACTAAATGTTAGGGCAAATGTGCTTTACATGTCCTGTAAATTTCATCTTGGGATCTCAAAGGGATTCGGAGTAAAAAAAAAAAACGTAACCACAAATTACGAACATATGGGGCGAAATTCCTCAACTGCCCAGGTAAAAAAATGAATTTTCTCTAAACTTGGCTAAAATGTTACTTTTATTAGTAGAAGTGTAAATGTTAATTCTTTTTTAATTAAACTTTCCGAGATAAATGCAACTCCAGGGTTGCCACGCTTTTACTCATTTCAAATTCCCTGACTTTTCCAGGTTTTTCAGATTAAAAAACGGAATTTTTCCAGGTTTTTAAAACTACATTTATATTTTACAAAATTTTTAATTCAAACCTTTTTGAAATTAAACATGTTATAAAACATGAAAACATCGATCACTCCGAGTCTTCGACTCCGAGCAATCGATATCTTCATGTTTAATAATAATTAAAAATGTTGGACTGATAAAATCATCATTTTATACCTATTATAACAATATTGTTACTGTAACTTATTCAAAATTACTTTCATTATTTAAATTCAATTATTGTTTTCCACAATTTTTAACTAAAATTCTTCTTTATAAAGTGTAAATTAATTATTATTAATAATTTCTGAAAAATTTCTTTCAACATTTTCAAATCCTTTTGTTTACAATTAATTTTTACGAAATTTCATCGATTATTCAGGTATTCGGAAATTCTTCAATCAAATATATATTAGAAAATAAAAACTTTAAATAACTTCAAAAAAATTCAATTCAACTTTTACAAAAAAATTAAATCTACACAATTTTAAGTTAAAAATATGAAAAATTCAAACATTCAAAGATTATAATTTGAGACCTGCTTTTCAAAACTCAATTATTATCTAAAGTTTTAACTGAAATTCATATTTAAATCAATTATTATTAGAAAATTCTACGACAATTCAATTATTTAAATACAAAAAAAATAATTTATTGAAGAATTGAATGTTTTTTTAAAATTGAACTCTCATTTAAAGAATTTTGTCAACAAATTTTTAAATAGGTAATTAAAATTCTTTTGACGAATTTCAATAAAATTTTTAAGAATAATTTCATTTTTCGAGAAATTAGATTAAAAATGTATTAAAAATAATTGAATCTCTGTAAAAAATTTTATTGAATTGAGAAAAGTTTTTGAAAATAATTGAAATTTTGTCAAGAATTTTATTAAAATTTTTTTAAATAATTGAAATATTGCCAAGAATTTTATTAAAATTTTTGAAAATAATTGAATTTTAGAGTAAAATTTTAATTTTTGACTATAACTTTTTTTAAACTTTTGACCATAATTGAATTTCTGCTAAGAATTTTATTACCTACTTTTGAAAATAATTGAATTTCTTTGATGAATTTTAATAAAATTTTTAAGAATAATTATACGTTTTTCGAGAAATTCCATTAAAATTTTTTTTTTTTGAAATTTTAATTAAAAATCTTAAAAATTATTGAATTTTATAAACAATTTCTTTCAAGTTTATAAAATAATCGTGTTTGTTAACAATTTAATTTTTGCAAAGAATTTTATTATTTATAAATATAATTACGAAAGGGCATTGCCCGTATATTCTTCAAATAAATAATTGAATTGTTTCGAAGGATTTATTAAAAGTTTAAAAAATAATAGAATTTTTGCAAAGAATTTTACTATTTACAAATATAATTGAATTTTTTGAAGAATTTATTAATATTTTAGAAAATAATTTAAACCTTTGTAATTTTTTATAAAGAATCAAGAAAAAAAATTGAATTCTTTTGTGAAATTTTTTTGAAAATAATTGAATTTTTGCAAAGAATTTTATTATTTATAAATATAATTGAATTTTTGCGAAGAATTTTACTATTTACAAATATAATTGAATTTTTTGAAGAATTTATTAAAATTTTAAAAAATAATTGAATCCTTTGAAAATTTTTATAAAGAATCAAAAAAAAATTGAATTCTTTCGTGAAATTGTTTTGAATATAATTGAATTTTGCAAAAAAAATGAACTATTTATGAATAGATATTGAATTGTATCCAAGAATTTATTAAAATTTTAGAAAATAATTGATTTTTTTCCAAAAATATTATTATAAATTAAAAAAATTGAAATTCTTTCATGAAATGTTATTAAAATTGTATTAAAAATAATGAAATTTTTGTAAAGAATTTTTCTATTGATAAATAAAATTAAATTGTTTCGAAGGATTGATATCAAATAAAGAAAAAAAATTGAATTCTTTCGTGAATTTTTTTTTAAAATAATTGAATTTTTGCAAAGATTTTACTATTTAAAAAAATAATTGAATTGTTTCGAAGGATTTATTAAATTTTTTAAAATTATTAGTATAATTAATTAGTAAATTAGTTAATAATTAAATTATTTAAAAATTTCAGTCAGAAATTATTCAAAAATTCATATTTGAAAATAAAAAATTTTGTACCTAATTTGCATAATAATAATTCGAACATCACGTTTCGCGCGCGTAACATTTGCTTGTTTAAATATAAATAACAGGGATCACAGTTAGTCCCCTTTTTTACCTAATCCCCTTTTCTTCCTCTTTTCCCCTTTTTTATCCCCTTAAATTATTAAAATCCCCTAAAACACCTAAAATCATCAATTTTCTCCCCTTTTCCCCTTACTTTTAAGAAAAACTTGTAAAAATTGTCATTTTTTGTAAGTTAGAAAAATTTTTAGTTATGCTTGAAAAAAAAATTTTTATTTTTCACAAACTTTGAAAAATTTTTAATATTTTGAGACTTAAAAATCTTTTTATATTATTTCTCAGTCTTTAAATTTGACAAATTGTATTAATTTTAGAATAAATTTTACTAAATTCAAAGTATATTTTACTAATTTTTTTTTTTTACTAATTTACTCTGGAAATGAAGATTTTTAATAGCAAAATTTACTATTCCCAATGTCAATTTTTTTTATAAAAATTGTTGAAATTACATTATCACAATTACAAAGATAAACAAATTAAAATTGTATTGATAGGACTGAAATTCGTGAAATAAATTGAATTATTATTAGTCGCTTAAGACTTAACTCAATTAAAATTAATCGATGAACTAGATTAACATTTCTATTATTAAAAATTTTTATCAATACAAATTTATTTTATAGAAATTTAGATTTTTCTAAATGAGCAGTAGGTAAGTTAAAGCTCTGACTGCTCAAATGAATCAAATTTATATAATTTACATTATTAATTTTTATTCAAGTTAATAATTTTTGAAAATGTTTATGCCGAAAAAATGTTTTCCGGTTATTTAAACGTTCAGAATTTGTAAAAATCATGCTTAAGAAAATGTTTAAAAATTTAATTTATCTTTTAAATTGTTTTTAAAATATAAATAAATAAAAGAAACACAAATTTAAGTTTCAAACGATTGAATTGGAAATTTATTAAAATTAAAGTTTGGATAAATTAAAACTCAGATTAACTAAATTTGAGCTTAAGTAAAAATAAGATGAATTCTAGAATTCAAAAAGTTAAAAATTTTCATGATTTTAATTTACAGTCAATTAAAATTTTAATCGATGAAAGTTTTTAACAATTATTGTAAACCTAGATTTATTGAAATATAAATTTATTAAAAATATTTTAAACCTATTTTTTAAACAAAATATTACTTAATAAATACTTGAGAAAAATATTTAAAAATTGTACAAAATAGATAAAATAAGTGGAAATTAACGAAATAAGTGCCAAAGTTTGAAAAAGGTGACAATCCGTGGTCCTTGATATTAAAGAAATAAAACGATAATAATACTTTGAAGTCTGTTCTAGTTTTAGAGCATAAGAAAATTATTGATAATATGTAAAGGTCGAAGTGACGGTTTTCTTGTAAACTCAATTATCAATCTTCCATCAAAACTTTGTACAAATATCGTATAAACGATAGTAAAACTTGAGTCAGTCGAATGAAAAGTTGAATAAAAAAATACAATTGATTTGGAAGATAATTTTAAAAAGAGTCTAATAAAAGAAATCTTTTAAGACAGTCTGTTATAAAATTAATTGTAATTAAAATTTTGTCAGGTTAAAAAGATATTTAAATCATAATTTAAGTATGAAAAATCATTGGAAATTTAAAAGCTACTTTTATTTTTTTTAACTTTTCGAATTTTGACGCACCTTTTAGCCCAGTTTTTTTTAACTGGGTAGCAGCCAGAGAATCTTAAAAGAAATATAAAACTTATACTTACTGAACAAAATTCTTCGAAACTAATTTTTCCATCTTCATCTTTGTCTGCGAATAATATTGTTTTGTCGACTATTTGTTGTAATTGTGTATCTTTTAAATTATTTCCTACCATCATTTTTAATACTTGAAATAATTCACCATTGCTAATGAATCCATCATTATCCATATCGTAAATTCTAAATGCAAATCTTAATTTACTTTCTTTATCACCCTGAAAGAAGAAGAAGAAAAAATTTTAAATCTAGATTAGCTCAAAAGAGTACATAAGACAATAAATTTCAAGACAAAATTTTAAGACAAAAAATAAACACGAATACATTGAATTTATTGTCAAACAAAAATCTTTTGTTGACACAGAATAAATATTTGCTGCTTCAACGAAAGCAGTTTGTGATAAGCGAGTGCATTTGTTTACTCAGAAACGACTCATCTTTTTTTAACAAACAAAAAGTTTGTAAAAAATTGTATAAATTAATAAATTAATAAAGATTAGAAATTATGAATTATTTTTGACTTGTACGAACCTTTACACTAAATTGTGAAACGCCACGAATGAATTCTTTAAAATCTACTTCTCCATTGCCGTCTGCGTCGAATATATCTATGACACGCTGCACCAGGGGATTTTGTTGTAATTCTGGTAGTGACATAAATTCCTCGGTACTGAGAGCACCGCTGTTATCGAGATCCAATTTTCGAAATCGTTTGCCCAATCTTTTGATTTCGTCGGCATCAACTGAAATAATGAGCAATTTTCTTTATAGTTTTTATTTTTCAAGGTTAACGTTGTAAACTAAATGAAACAAAAATTACGATTTCTTATTTTTAAATCTTAGGAAGGGTTTAATTTTTTAACTTTTGATAACTGGTCTTAATTCATGTATTTATGGGCAAATCTACGGAATCGTCGATTTAACGTTACTGCACATTAATATTGCTTTAAAAATACTATTTAATTTTTATCTTACTCTGAATATTATTTTAATGACTTTTTAAACGAAAAAAGTTTATAAAATTGATTTTTATACTCTTTTTCTGAATTAAGAAATCTTTCTTGAACTTAAAAAGTCAAATTTCGCAAATTTTATCTGTTACTCTGGTTTTTTTTTAATATTATTGTGTATAATTTTTTCAGCATAACACAAAGTTAACCAAACTCGTAATGAATAATTTTTCTAAGATTACAGGGCAAAAAATCAAATCCAAAAAATCCAGACCGAAAAATCCAAGAAAAAAAGTCTAAAGTACAAAAAATCCAAACACATCCGGACAAGAAGTCTAAAACAAAAAATCCAAACAGGGTGGTCACAAATTTCAGTTTATCAATTTAAAATTAATTTAATTTTAATTAATTTACTGACATTAAAAAAAAATTTCAACTATTAAAAAACATTTTTATTATAAATATATTATATTATTTTCCCTGATAAAATTCTTTTTACAGGAAAATATGAAAGTTTACGGAAAATGAGTCAAATTTGTGAATTTTAATAATTTCTAAAAATTTAAATACAAAAACTCAATTTTTTATAAAAATTGTAACTGTACATTTTTTTTTCTTAAGTTATTAAGAAAAATTATAATAAAAAAATTCTTACGAATAATTTTGTTAAAAATATTTTAAATGTTTGAAGGATAATAGTTTTTAATTATATTCAGTTGAAAAATTTCCTAAAATTTGGTATAATCTTTTAAAAATAATTGAATTTTTTAAAAATATAAATAAAAAGAATCAAATTTTGGAATTTTAATTATAGATAATTATGACCATGAGTTCTCCGAAAATTTTAATAAGTCTAAAAAGTACATTTTTATTTTGTTCAAAGATAATTGAATTTAAAAAAAATATGATAGAAGAATTCTAAGAATTAATTTTTAAAAATATTTTAATGTAATTATTCGCAAATAACTGAATTTCTTAAAAGAATTTTTGTATAATTTAAAAAAAACTAATTAATTTTTTGATGAATTTTAATTAAAAATTTTGGAATGATTGTTTTCTCCAAAATGTAAAAAATAATTCTAAAATGTTATTACATATTTTTCATATGTATTTGAATTTTTATTGTCATTGAAAATACTAAAAATATTTCATTTTAAAAAATTAGATTTTTCATTAAAATTTTTTGATAATTTAATTATTTTCAACATTTGCAATTAAAATTCTTCAAAAGTTGACTCTTAAAAATTTTAACAAATTACTTGAAATAAGCTAATTATTTTCAATTAAATTTTACAAAATTTCAACTATTTGAAAAGATTTTCATTATAGATATATTTTTAAAAAATTTAATTACGTTAAAAAATGATTTAAAAACAATTTTTGAAAGATTTGTTTATAGTTATTTTTCGCATTATAAAAATTAAAATAAGTTGCACTTTTTTTTAATAAAAATTATGGTATTTTGTTGTAATGTTTGGAAAAAAGTCGAAAAAAGTCGCAATTTTTGAAAATAAGACGAAAAAAGTTTCAATTTTCTTAATTTCACTGACAAAAAATTTTTTTCCTGACATTTTTGGTCAGGAAAAAGAAAAAAGTCAAAAAGTCCAACGAAATTAAAAATCCAATGAAAAAAATTGAGATAAAAATTTAAATGCTACTAAAAATACTAAATTTTAAAAAATTAGAAGCAAATTTTTATTTTTAAATTTAGGTTTAAAGATTTTTTATATAGAAATTTTTAATAATTCAACTATTTTGAAAATTTTCAATTAAAATTTTTCAAAAGTTGATTTTAAAAATTCTAACAAAGTACTTGAAAGAAATTAATAATTTTCAATTAAATTTTACAAAACTTCAATTATTCAAAATCTTTTTAATTGTATATTCGAAAATTTAAATAGAAAAATGATTCAAAAATAATTTTTGAAAGATTTGTTTATAGTTCTTTCTTGCACTAGAAAAATTGAAATTAGTTACATTTAATACTAAGATTATAATATTTTGTTGCAATGTTTGGGAGAAAAGTCGAAAAAGTCGCAATTTTTGAAAATAAGTCGAAAAAAATCTCAATTTTCTAACTTTCTGAAAATAATTAAAATAATCGAGTAACTTAATTGGAATTATATTAAAAAAAATAATTAAATTTTTGTAAAGAATTTTATCAAAATTTGTTTTAAAAAAATTGTATTTCTCGGAATAAATTGTTTTAAAAAATTTTATAGAATAATTAGAATTTTTCTAGAAATTTTTTTTATTTATGAAAATAATTTAATTTTTGTGAAGAATGTTTTTTCAATTATGAAAATAATTGAAATTTTGTGGAAAATTTTTTTTATCTATAAAAATAATTGAATTTTCGTGTAGAATATTGTATTATTTATGCATAAATATTTAAAATCCTGCGATTTTAACATTAACATTTTAGATTTCGATTTTATAGCGTAAAAAGTTAAAACGTGACTTTTCCACATGTTTCATTATTTATTTTGAATGTTTTTCTTTATTTTTGATTTTGGACATTTTTATTTTGGATTTTTTGTACTTTGAACTTTTTTTCTTGGATTTTTCTATCAGGATTTTTTGTCCTGTAATCAGAAAAAATATTAATCAAAAATAAATAGTAACTGTTCAAAAAGTGTTACTCCAATTTTTCAGAAGCAGAAAGTTTTGAAGATTTTTTCATTCTGTGATTTTAGCGATAATGGAATTCTAGTTTTTTTTTGTATTTATTTATGAAAAACGAATAACTTGAAATCTTGTTGAATTGTGCGCTTTTAAAAATAAATATAACAATATTTGTGTTGAAACGTGAACGACTTTAAATTTTGACTACTTTTAACGCTAAATATTTACTACAAATAAAACATTCAAAAACGTTAAAACTACAATTTTTTAACAACTTTTTTCTATTAAAATAATCGACCTGAATTTATCTAAAAGTAGTCGTTATTTATTTTGTCGTTTTAAGTAACAAATTTTTGAAAAAAAATTTTCGTTAGAAGTTTTTAATTAACTCTTTTAGCACTAAAAGAAAATGATTCACATGAAAAATTACGACTTTTAAAATTTATTTTAAACGTAAATTTTAAACATAGTCTAAAAATAAAATGTGTGCTTGTAATTTAAAAATCTTTATATTTACGACGTTAAATCGTGCAATTCCGTAGATTTGCCCTTATATTATTTATTGCAATTCACGTTAAACATATGTTCTAAATTTAAACTATTGTTTTTAAAAAATTTCTTCAAATCTATTGTCTAGAAAAATTTGCAAAAACAAAAAAATAATAATAATAATATTGCAGAGGGAAAAAATGAGAAATGAAATAAATTTTGAATTCCTTCAAACATATTTTCGAAGATTGTTGATGAAACGAAACAGCAAAACATGAAAATTGTCTCTCAACAATGGAAGAAGAAATACGACGTGTCATGTTGAATAAATGAATGCATTAACACTACTAATAACTTCTCAGGAATAGTCTCCTACAACAATAATTTCTAAATATAAATACCCTAGGAAATCCTATTTAGAAAACAGCAATAAGACTATACAACATACATATTTAGAAATCAATACTTGCTCGAAAAATTTTTGAAAAAAAGACATTTCCACGAAACCAAAAACACTGCCACTCTTTTATAGATTCTAAAGGGTTATAACTTTCTCACATCCACCAAATAGACGAGAGTTTTATTTATTTACTTTTTTTATCGAAAATAAATACTACGAATAGGTTATTTAATGTTTTGGAATTTGAATAAATTTGCTGAAACACTTACAGTTTGAGCACAATTCCATGGGTAGAGAGCTTTCGTTACCCTGAAAATAAAATACATTTCAGACATTTGTAGAGGAAAAAAAGTAGAAATGGAAAAGTTTTTTTTCCCATCAAAACAGAAACAAACTAGGAATTGTTTTCATTCCATAACAGGGCATTAGAAATGGTTAATTGTGTATGAACTTGAACTGTAGGGAAGCACAAATCATTAGAATTAACGTCGAATAATATACTTATTTACCATGTTTAAATTGATTTCACCGTTCCTGCGAGAAATTCGAGGATAATGTCAAAATCTAAGATCAAAATTGATCAGCAGGTATCTTATGGCAGACTGCCAAGGCGCTTGCGTTCTAATAAATGACAAATCTCACATTTAATTGGAGTAACTTTCGGACGCAGTGGCGATAAAAAAATATACTTTTGGATCAAAAGAAAGACCAATCGCACATTGTATACAAGGGTTCTGATTGGCTATACTCCAAGACTGATTGCTTACTTCATTCTGAATTGTCAGTCAGAAGAAGAGGAGAATCAAGAGTCGCACTCGGATGGTGGGGGTACGTTCGAAAATTCTTTTTGAAAGGGGCGGTGGCATTTGGAAAACTTGCGAGTCGCAGTAGTTCTGCTCATACTGCCTACAGGTGGTAATAATAAACAGATAATCAATTCACTGAAAATTATTTACGGAAAGATAATACGTTCACCAGGAACCTATTGTAGAAAGGACCATATCCCGCATTCGTCTCCCGTAACGGACTATATATTTGTGTCCTTTTCTATCTCATGCGTCTCGTTCGCGAAGCTAATCAACTATTGTGCAAAGACCTTAAGCGAATCGACTAAATTTCCATTGTTTCCATGGTCGTGACTCGTGAGTCGAGAGAAAAAAAATTTGTGTTATTTTCTTAAGAAAAAAAATGATAAATTTATATTTATAAAATGAAGAAGGAGTAAAAAATCTTTTAGTTTACATAATTCATCTCCTATTTGCAATAAACATCATTATTAGTTTAATTCTCGACGATTTATCGATCAGTTTTCTATAACAACACAATGAACAGAAATTGCACTGTGGTAGGTATTATACTAGTGTTTTTTTTAGTAATGCTTTATAAATTTATTTATGTTTTTTTAAATGCTGTAAATTTTGTTCTTAAGTAGGGAAATGTCTCCATAGGTGAACCGGCTCCATGAGTAGACAACCTTTCTGATTTTTATGAAACCAAAAGCAAAATGTTCAAATATAAAAATTCTTTCCATTTCAATCGTGTTTCTTAATCAGAAATTTTAAACAGTTACTATAAGTTTCTATCTCATACTTTTAATAGAAAGTCTATCCGAATCAATACTTTGTCTATCCGAAAATTGTCCCACTGATTTCAAAGAAAGTCCTATCAAATTCTATCAAAATTGATTATTAAAACTGTTTTCCAATCCATAATAAGATTTTTTGACTAAAATTCTATCAAATCCTATATCAAAAAATTACCGAAAGTTCTTTCACATTGCATTCAATAATTTAAAAAAAATTTTATTAAATTCTATCAAAACTGATTATTAAAAATTGATTCCAATTCAATAAGATTTATTAATAGGTTTTTTTATAGGTTATGTGAGTAATAACAACGATAAGTAGGAAATTCAATTAAAATACGGGGTTATAATGTTATAAATTCACTTATTATTTATTGAAAAATTTAAATAAACATTTATTATATCTTTTCGAATATTAAAAAACTTGACAATTATCACCTTTTCATTGGAAAAATAAGTTTTTCTTGTCATTTATTCATGTTTATCACTGAAAAAAAATTTGCAATTAATTATTCCAAGAAAAAATGTTATTCTCAAGAGTGGACCACCTTTTGTATCCATGAGTAAACCACATAAATATAAATTAATTATCAAGTGCAAGGAGTGCAATAAAAGACCTGTTCGATTTTCTAATAAATTTTATTAATATACAAATTTAATTATTTATAATATATATCATTCACTGATTCGAAAGAGAATTTCATGAACTTTCTATTGCTATTTTTTATTTTTTTAAATTTCTTTCAATTTTGTAGAGAAATTCTTGTTTGAAATGTTAAACTTTTAATATCTTAAAGCACCCCCCCCCCCATCCCGTCGATTTTTATAAAAATTATATAAAAATAAATCTGAACTTTTCTATAGTTTTCATTTCCGTATGATATATTATGGACATTTAATGGTCAAGTTTTTCACAAAATATGACAATTTAAAAAATTTTTTTCTATCAATTTAATTAAATGTCCATAATTGAGAGATGCACCTAATCTATTAGCGTTTAAAAAACTGTTTTTTGAATTATTATTCAGAGAAAACAATGGAACATTTAATATTACATATTGGTAGGATTTCTTATTATTGGCATATATTTTCTTAATCTTTTAGTTGGTTTCCATACATTTAGTAAAGTTGTTACATTCTTTATATATAATTTTTTTTAATATTGTTATCTTATTTTTGTATTTTGCTTCTCAGTATTGTTCTTATTAATATTGTAAACATTTAACTTAAATAAGTAACCAAATTTAATTTTGATGTATCTGTTCCTTGAAGGGCTTATTAGCCCTAGGAACTTTGTTATTCTTAAATAAATAAATAAAATAAATAATATAGCATACGGGAATGGAAACTATAATAAAAAAAAAAATAAATAAATAAATAAAAAAAAAAATAAATTAATTAATAAAAATAAAAAATAAACATTATTATTATTATTATTATTATTATTATTATTATTATTATTATTTTAATAAATTTTAAAATTAAAGTTTAGCTTTATTTTTATATAATTTTCATAAAAATCTATGAAATTCAGAGAAATTAAAAAAAATAAAAACAAATATATGTTACTTTAACATTAAAATCTTATAATGTTATCTTAAATAACTTGAAGTTAAGGGTAATAGCTGTCTAACGATATATAATAGTCTTTAAATCTTCTTTACTGAAAAATTTTATTTGAATAATTAGAAAAGTGGTCCACTCGTGCAGACATTCCCTTATAAAATGTAAGGAATATCAAAGCTTACATATAAACCAAAAAAACTGAATAACAGAAAACAAAAACCTTATTTAGCAGTTTTACTATATTTATAACATTTATTTTAAAAATTAAGTGTATTCACTAAAAAGATAATGCAGGTTTTATGATTTTTGTTACAGAATTTATAATCGACTCATACTAATTCTATTTAAAAGTGTGACATTCATCAACGGAAATTCCAACAGTTCGGAACTCATTGTAATTTATCCATTTGCGGTTATGGATAACTCGAATGATGGCAGTGACCCTTCCGATGGAAGTGACCCACAGGTTTCTCCTGATCATGATCACAAATTGAATCTTATTCAAGCTTTTCTTAAGCATTATTCTGACAAGGAAACGGAGAGTGGAGGAATGTCAATGCCTACAGCTGAAGAACAGGAGGAAATGGTTCTGTTGACTGCGAAACGAGATAGAGATGGAAACAGTCTTCTGCACCTTGCGATAAAGGAAAACCAGGCGGAGGTGTTCAATCAAATTGTTGGAGAATGTAATGTAGACGCGGAAAATAACAGGGGTGAACGGCCACTCCATTGTGCTGTAGCGGATAATAGAATTGAATTTGCATTAGCTCTTATCGAAAATGGTGCCACGGTTAACGTAGAAGACAAGGAGGGAAAAACACCTCTTCACCTGGCTCTGAAAAATCAAAACGTTCTGTTAGCAGAAATTCTGTTTGATAGTCACGCAGTCATGAGTAAAGAATATTTAAACAAATTTAAACCTCTTTATTGTGCTGCTCAAAGCGGGAATTTGGAAATCGTTAAATTGCTTATGACGAACGGATGTAAAACAGTCGACAGTTATGAAGGAGACTACAGTTGTCCTCTTGTAGCAGCAGTAAGACAAGGCCATTTAGAAGTTGTAAAGTATCTAATGAGGAAAGGCGATAAAGACATTAAAACCATTACTGTAGATCGTTTTCATTTACTTTCAAGTTGTGTCAAACCAGAACGAGTCGATATTTTTAAATATTTAGTCGATGTGGGTGTGAAAGCAGAAGGTGATTTCTTTTGGGGTGCTTCGTTTTGGAAGCGCTATAACATTTGGAAATATTTATTAACGTCTACTTCTAAAATGAATGCATATACATGTTCTCAAGAGACAGAACTTCATTGGGCTATACGTTCAGGACAACTGGAAACTGTTAAAGTAATTGTAAATAATCCAGCAAGCTATTTTAAAAGTAACTCTCTGACTAGCCAATTAGCCGTTCACATTGCCGTTGAAAATGGCAATGAAGATATACTAGAATTTCTTCTAAATGAGGGCTTTTCATTTGAGGGTTGCTTTAGTGGTGTAAAACCTCTTCACGTTGCTGCAACATTCAACAACACGAGATTAGTAGAATTACTCTTGGAAGCTGGAGCTGACATTAATTCAATAGCTGTTGAACATCTCACCCCATTACATTTCGCAGCAAGTGCTATACAACCAACTGTTGTTAAATTTTTATTGGAAAATGGTGCTGATCCTTCTAAAACGTGTCGTTACGGTTCCTCATCATTAAAATTTGCATTAGATATGCTTACGGGATTATTTGAAGATGGTCCGACTATTACTACTGTAATGTATGAAAAACTTTTAAAAGTTATGGAAATACTTATCCCAAAAGTAGAAATAACACCAGAGTACTGGCATTACGCAATCAAAATGAAGATTTCGAGGGACAAAAGTGATTTAAATTCGTATGGACAGAAATCGAACGACGCGAGCAAATCAGAGCAAGATGGCAGTAATTTACAATTTCAACTTGCAATGATTAAAGTCATATTTAATTACCTAAAAGAAGATCAAGTGGAAAGTTTATCCCTATCCGCTTTAAATGGAAAGGAGGATAAATCAATTGACTCTCCTGAACTCTTGCAAATTGTAATGGAATACAATGATTTTAAATCTTGTTCTGATATCGAAATACGACTTTGGAAAAATTCCTATGAGTGTAATTTGCTTTTAATTAGTTACGCCGACAGTGTTAAAAATCTCACAAATATAGATGTTGAATTTAAGAACGATGCATCTTTTCAACTGCACGGAAAAGATAAGACCGTCTTCTTGAAATTAATAGTTGCGCGTCTGGTACTGATAATCAATAAATATAATTCGAAAGTCTCCAAATTTGGAAGGAAACACAATTTAAACGATTGGAGAAAGGAATGCGGAAAGCAAAAAGTTAGCTTGCAAAATACAAAGGTTGATGAGAATTTAAATATCACTTTCTACAATGTATTAACTTCACCAGTCAGCAAATTCGCAACGTTCACGGGGAATGAGAATTTTCTTCAAAGCATCGCATCTTCCTACACAAAGTTTCCAGCGTATGCTGAATTTTTGAAAGTCAGTATCGACAAAGGAAAAACAAGGAATGATTTAATGGACAATTGTGTGAATCATATGTTCAATCTGGTTGGAAGAAGTTACAAAATTCGAATTTCAAAATTCGATATCGGCAAAATTTTTCAATATCTTTCGGTATTTGATTTACGAAGATTTTCAGCAGCGTGCTCAAAAAGTTTTTTCAGATTATAAGAAAATTATTTTTGTATATATGTAATTTGTAGTTATGAATCTACAAATATGATTATTTTCTACATTGTTTAAATGAATTGTAAAATGTAATAGAATGAATATAATTTGTTAAAAACAAATAAAATATATTGTAAACTTCCGTGAAACAATTTAAGTTTACTACAAGAAATAAATAAAAGTTTAAATGTTGACAAATACTTTTTATAAAATGGGGAAATTATTTAAGCTGAAATAAGTCCTATTTATCTTTTACGCGTAGAGAAGTGGTAATTAAACAAATTAGAAATGTAAAGTTACGTGAAACTTTAGTTTTTTACGTGCAGTATTTGGATCAAGTGTTTTGCCGGCACTGCAAAAACAAGTGTCTCATTTTGAGACGTTTTGTCCCCATATTTGAAACACATAGATGTCTTGTGTCCACATATGTGAAATAGATATGTGTCTCATTTTAAGACGTTATAAAATGTCTCACACATTTAGCACTTCATTTTGAGAATTAATTTTTTCTAGCATAATTTATTTATTTGAACAACGGAGAATCCAAAAATGGTAATAGAAAATTTCCTGTCTGTATGTGTGTATGTATGTATGTATGTATGTCCGCAAAATTTTGTTCGCGTATAACTTGAAAACGTCTTGACCGATTGAAGTAAAATTTGGCAATCTTTTAGGTAATGGTCTAACTTAAAATATTAGCTATATTTGATGAAAAAATATTAAACTGAACAAAAGTTATAAATTTTTCAAAAAATTCAAAAAAAAATTTTTTTTTTAATTTTTGCAGATTGGCATAAATTTTTTAATTTATTAAAAATGTAAATGATTTTAAAGATATATAACAATAAATTGAATTAAAAAATAATATTAATATGAAAAAGATTATGAATTTTCCAAAAAATTCGAAATCTTTTTTTAATTTTGACAGATTGCTGTAAATTAATCAGATAGCTATGACTTTTGTAAGATATATATAAACAATAAATTTACAGATTTTAAACATATTAATTAGAACGGGAGGTATTCAATTTTTTCAAAAAATTAAAAAAATGGAAAATTTCCAAATTTTATATTTTTTAATGTATATCTTTTAAACTTTCTGTAATTAAATATTAAATGTTATTTAGTCATATTTGAGCATAATGTAGAAAAAATACTGTCCTATAACTATAAGATGGATAAATTAAGTATAAAAATGTTTTTAATATCAAAAAATTGAAAAATTATAATTGAACCGACCAATTACTATCAAGCTTAATTAAGTAGTATTTTTTGGGTCTCTGATAAACTTTTGACGTCAAAATAATGGAATTTAGAATTATTTGTTTATCCAATTAATCAAAAATTTTTCAATTGCAAAAACTTCGAAAATATTAAAAATGGAGATTTCCCATTTTTCGAGACTGGTAGACACACTATTGAATGTTTTTCTATAGGGGCCGTTCCAGAATGAGCTAAAACAAGGCAAAACGCAACGAAGACGCGACGCGTGCCAATGCTAATCAAGTCGGTTCTACAATGGGCACGTCAGACGTCCACGTCCGACGTGCCCATTGTAGAACCGACTTCAAGGCGAGAACAGAATGCCTATGAAAACGTGTACGTTAACGTGAACGTGGTCACGTGACCCATTTGAAGTCGGTTCTACAATGGGCACGTCGGACGTGGACGTCTGACGTGCCGTGCTGACGTCACCCATGCTCGGTCGTATGAAATCTCCCAAAAATCAAATCGATCGAATATCCATTACATCGAATTTCAAAACATCGAATGCTCAATACATCGAATTTTCAAATCTTCGAATGTTCATTTGATCGAATTTTCAAAACGTCGAATGCTCATTTCATCGAATTTTCAAAACTTCGAATGTTCATTAGATCGAATTTTTAAAACTTCGAATGTTAAATTGATCGAATTTTTAAAACTTCGAATGCTTATTTCATCGAATTTTCAAAACGTCGAATGCTCATTTCATCGAATTTCCAGAACTTCGAATGCTCATTTCATCGAATTTCCAAAACTTCGAATGCTTATTTCATCGAATTTTTAAAACATCGAATGTTAATTAGATCGAATTTTTAAAAAGTCGAATGTTCATGTCATCGAATTTTCAAAACTTCGAATGCTCATTTCATCGAATTTCCAAAACTTCGAATGCTCATTACATCGAATTTTCAAAACTTCGAATTCTCATTAGATCGAATTTTCAAAACTTCGAATGCTCATTAGATCGAATTTTCAAATCTTCGAATGTTCATTTGATCGAATTTTTAAAACGTCGAATGTTAATTTGATCGAATTTTTAAAACTTCGAATGTTCATTTTATCGAAGAGAATTTAACATCTGAGTTTACTATCTATGTAATATGTTCTTCCTAGGGAATTTTGAAAGTGCGCGAGATTTGAAATCGTTTTGGTAAGTGACAATTTTTTTTATTGAGTAAAATTTTTTTGTTTGTTTACTAATTACTTGTCAGTAAATGTTTATTTTTTTGTTATATAAGTATCACTATTATTATGATTATTTTAATTTATATTATAGTTTTTATTATAAGGTAATTAAATTAAATTGTGGTTATCTATTACAATCATAGATGGCTCTAGTAATATGAATATGTGTTTTACAAATTTTTATAAATATTAATCTGTTTATAGTATAATTATTAATATTGTTATTCTTATTATTGTGTAATTGTGAATTTATTATGTATATTTAATGTAATATTGATTTATTTAGAAGTCAGTAAGATGATCGTTAAAAAAAAGTAGTGAATATTTCTTATTTGTCTAAATATTTCGCTTCTAAATGAAGAGTTCAAGTTTCTTTTATCTATTTATAATGAATGATTGAATGAATGAATGAATTAATTAATTAATTAATTAATTAATTAATTAATGTGCATAAATTAAAATTATTTTCAAATTAAATAAAATATTGTGTATTGTTATTATTTTGTTATTTCTTTATATAGTGAATATTAAATTGCATTACTCTCTACTTTAAATAAGAAATAGATTCTATATGTAAGTAATACTTAAATTTTTATTGTAAATAAATAACAAGATTCCTACAGAAATCCGAAATTAAAATTCCATACCTTTTCCATGATTTATAGGTCAAACTTTTACGACATTCCAGTGCAATTTTAAATATAATTTCATTACTTTTGGGCTCTTCGAAAATAGTTTACTTATTGAATAGCCTCGACTCTTTGATAAAAAATTTAAAATTATCTAATATTATCAAAAATTCAAATATCCGAATTGCTTAAAATGCAACATTTTTTCCTCTTTTTTTATGGGATTTAGCTTCATTATTTTTGGGCTCTTCGAAAACAGTTTACTTATTAAATAGTCTTGACTTATTATTATTATTATTATTATTATTATTATTATTATTATTATTATTATTATTATTATTATTATTATTATTATTATTATTATTATTATTATTATTATTATTATTATTATTATTATTATTATTATTATTATTATTATTATTATTATTATTATTATTATTATTATTATTATTATTGTTATTGTTATTATAAATTCGAAATAAAATCACATTTTATATTAAACAAAATTATATTTTTATTTATAATTGTAGAACTACATACATTTTATTTTATAATCGTGAATAAATCTTTGAAACATTAAAAGTTGTTATACTTTTTTTATAAAATTTACATTACTATAAAAGTTTAGTGTGAGTGACTGAAGAAAACGGTGATTTTTAGGAATTTTTTTCAGGGAAATTATTGCATCTAATTTTTAATACAGTTTTGTACATGTATACATATTTGTATAAATAGTCAACATTTTGTAATTTTTTCAAAGAAAAATATTCTTTTTTAATTAAGAGTTATTCGCTATATAAAAAAAATCCAATTTTCCCACTGCGCTGCAGTGATTGCGGCCTTCTGAGGGACTGAAATAAAAAAAACAAAAAGTTTATTTAAGTCGAAGATATTTGCCGTACAATGACTCTCGGATGTCAAAAAATATTGAATTGCAACAAAATGGTGGAGTTTTGAAAAAGCTTTTCATTTTCGCCAAAAAAAAAATCCGATGGTTCGGATTTTATTTTACTTTTATTTTAAAATTTTATTTTTCATGCATTAAAAAAACTGAAACCTCATTGTACGGCAAATATCTTCGACTTAAATAAACTTTTTGTTTTTTTTATTTCAGTCCCTCAGAAGGCCGCAATCACTGCAGCGCAGTGGGAAAATTGGATTTTTTTTTATATAGCGAATAACTCTTAATTAAAAAAGAATATTTTTCTTTGAAAAAATTACAAAATGTTGACTATTTATACAAATATGTATACATGTACAAAACTGTATTAAAAATTAGATGCAATAATTTCCCTGAAAAAAATTCCTAAAAATCACCGTTTTCTTCAGTCACTCACACTAAACTTTTATAGTAATGTAAATTTTATAAAAAAAGTATAACAACTTTTAATGTTTCAAAGATTTATTCACGATTATAAAATAAAATGTATGTAGTTCTACAATTATAAATAAAAATATAATTTTGTTTAATATAAAATGTGATTTTATTTCGAATTTATAATAACAATAACAATAATAATAATAATAATAATAATAATAATAATAATAATAATAATAATAATAATAATAATAATAATAATAATAATAATAATAATAATAATAATAATAATAATAATAATAATAATAATAATAATAATAATAATAATAATAATAATAATAATAAGTCAAGACTATTTAATAAGTAAACTGTTTTCGAAGAGCCCAAAAATAATGAAGCTAAATCCCATAAAAAAAGAGGAAAAAATGTTGCATTTTAAGCAATTCGGATATTTGAATTTTTGATAATATTAGATAATTTTAAATTTTTTATCAAAGAGTCGAGGCTATTCAATAAGTAAACTATTTTCGAAGAGCCCAAAAGTAATGAAATTATATTTAAAATTGCACTGGAATGTCGTAAAAGTTTGACCTATAAATCATGGAAAAGGTATGGAATTTTAATTTCGGATTTCTGTAGGAATCTTGTTATTTATTTACAATAAAAATTTAAGTATTACTTACATATAGAATCTATTTCTTATTTAAAGTAGAGAGTAATGCAATTTAATATTCACTATATAAAGAAATAACAAAATAATAACAATACACAATATTTTATTTAATTTGAAAATAATTTTAATTTATGCAC